AAGATGGGAGAGTGTTTTAAATTAACTTGAGGCTGGGGGTTTAGCTCAGCAGGAGTGCCTGCCTAGTATGTTCAAGGTCCAAGGTTCATGCTCCAGCACTGAAGTGCAGAAATAAAATGGGTTGGCCGGGGATGTAGCTTAGTGGCACAGTGCCTGCCTGGTAAGCACAAGGCCCTGAGTTTAATTTCTGGCACACACACACAAAAATAAGGTGAGGACCTATCTCTGTGGAAGAGGGAGAAAAGAGCCTCCTGAAGAAGTGTAAAAGAATCGACAGGAGGAAGGAGCTTTCTTCCTTTCAGATGCACGTTAACACTTGCTGTGTGCATGGCATTATGGGAGGAAAGTGAAGGGTAAGCTTTGCCTTTTCAACTTCCATACCGAATATATTCTCTTACCTTTTTTTTTTTTAAGAGAGGGTCTATGTAGTTCAGGCTGTCCTTGAACTTGCTGTGTAGCCCAGGTTGGCCTCAAATTTGGGGCAATCTTCCTGCCTTACCCTTCTGAGTGTTGTAATTACAGGTGTGTGCCACCATGCCCAGCAAACCTAATACATTCTTTTTTTTGTTTGTTTGTTTTTCTCCGGTACCGGGAACCGAACTCACGACCTTGCACTTGCCAGGCAGGTGCTTTGCTGCTGAGCTAAATCCCCAGCCCCAAACCTAATACATTCTTGAGAATGATTAAACTGTTACTAGTTGTTAACACTATTGCCAGGCAGTACAGAATATTACAAAGTCGCTCATCAAGCCCACCCAGCCTAATAAAGTTAGTTCGTTCATTGGCACTGGGACTCTCCAGTTACCTGCAATACCCATACCTATCCCATCTCCTCCCCTCTTTCTAATTTTTACATTTTTATTGCTGTGTGTTTGCAGTGTGTAATGATTATGTTCACTCTGGGGAGTTGGTACATGTTCACAACACATCCTAATCCTGTTTACAACTCCCCCATCCCCTTGTACAGGAAGTGCCAGCTCTGAGCAGGGCCCAGACTGAAACCCTGTTCTAATTGTAGGCAGATGTTCCCGTTACCACGGGTCTGCTGCTTTTCCTTGTCCATGTGCAGGGACTGTGACAGGTGCGGAGTCAGCCCATAGCCCTGACCCCATCCCAGTTGTACCGCCTGCCTGCTGTCCCAACTAACAAGCCCTTGGCTGTGTGCTGCATGCCATTCAATGCTCCTGTTGTACCTCACACCTCCCTGCCTCTCCTGGAGGAGGCTTGTGAAGTGGACCACATGGCAAGGGACATCTACAGAAGCAGCCCTAGAGCTGTGAGGAAGGCTGGCTTCTGCTCACAGCTCCCCGCCAGCATTTTGCCCTGGCTCACAGATAAGTGCATTTGAGCTCCCGTTTTAGCAAAATCCCAACCCTTTTCCCCAGGTAGACAGGGCCATGTATTTTGTTTTTGTTTGTTTTTTTCTTTTTGAGACAGGGTCTCGCTCCTGAGTTCAGGCTGGCCCTGAGCTCACTTTGTAGCCCAGGCTGGTCTTGAACTCACAGTGATCTTCCTGCCTCAGCCTCCCGAGTGCTGGGATTACAGGTGTGCACCACCACGCCTAGCCCTTAGACAGGGCTATGTAATGCACGAGAGCTTGGATTGTTATAAAAATGAGTGTACAAGGCCTCTTTTTCTCTGTGTTTTTTACTTAGTTTTTGTTTTTTTGAGGCAGGGACTCGATATGTAGTCCGGGCTGGCCTTGGACTCACTGTAGGCCCCAGGCTGACTTCGAAGTATGAAAGTAGGGGGTGACTATACTGGATTGTACCCAAGGCTTTTACGCTAAGCTCTACCACTAACTCTTGTTTTGGGGCAGAGTTGCACTAAGTTGCTAAATTGTTCAGGCGGGGCTTGTACTTAAAATCCTCCCTCAGCCTCCCTTCGGGATTCCAGGCTTGTATC